GACCTTTTGGGCAGGTGACAAGGCAAAAACATATGTTTGTGTTGGTTTAAAAAGTGCGATGATTTAATAAATTTGTGAAAAAAATATAAAAATCAACTAATTTTAATTGCAGAACAAATTTTTGTTATTTGCGCAACCGTGCTTGTGGAAGACGAGCAGCTCCGGATGCTCCCTACAAAACTTCACATAAAATTGCAGCTGCTCCTGCGTCGTCCGCTCATATTTTGCACGTCTAAAATATTTATAAATGTTATAAATATACGAATTTATCTATTTCACACAAATACTCACTTTTCTGGTGTTTCACCGCTCATATTTTTTGCAAATAATAGCGTTGACCAGCTGTTTCTACAACAATGAACTTTTCACCATGTCATTTTTTGTTAGGAATAGCAACGTGCAACGACAATGACAAAATCACGACAATGAAGGATGATCAATTGTCATTCTATTGCAAAACCGGAATAGGGCTGTAAGTCCGATTGTTCCATTTTCTTGTATGTTTTCAATTTATTCGATGCATCGAAAATATCGATTTTTATATACGATACATCGATGCATTAGAAAAAAGTCGATGTTTTTTTTGACTTGCATTCCTAAGTCAAACGTGGCGCCATCTAGAGTGACGCCAAATTTAGTCAAAAAGTCGCAGAGTTGCTTTTTTGCAAATAAAGACGAAATTCGATTTTTTTCTAGAAAAGTTCGATTTTATCCGAATTTTAGCACCTCAAAGTTCGATTTCAAAAATTCGCCATTTCGGAGCGAAAATTCGATTAAAATTCGAATCTCGAAGCTTCGAATATCGAATTTACCCATCCCTAATGAGGATACGTGACGTTGTAGGTCGCCTGAAGCTAAATACCTGAAACGATGAAAACCAAAACCAGTCTCCAAATTAGATGCTACAAAGAAATGTCGGATCGAACAGGTAAATAACATACTCTAAAACAATTGCTAATTTTGCTTTCTCGGGTATAAAATCGTATGGTTGTTGTTGTTGTTGTAGCGGCTACAACAACCCCGCCCAGATCGGTTGGTATCTCAGTCGTTGTCCTCAAGTTCCACTAACGGCAACCCTAGGAAGCGTGCAGCTTCTGTGGGATCTGTCCACAGGGACAGGGCCGTTAGGGTTGTCGGGTTGTCCGGGCATGCGAAGAGATGGTTCGAGTCATGTGGGGTCTCTCCGCATGCCGGACATTCGTTCGGCACATCCTCATTCAGCCTACTCAAGTAGGAGTTTAACCTGCTGCAGTAGCCGGAGCGAAGTTGAGCAAGTGTAGTGCGTGTCTCCCGAGGCAGATGAAGCTCTGTCTCGTCGATGTCCGGGGGTGGTATGCCTAGAACGGCATTCACAGGTCTAGAGTCTACATAACTCGAGACTGCGTCCCTGTGAATGCCGTTCAGGGCCTGTCTGTACGCTGTCGGGTCCAGAGGTTGCTTAATGAACCTCTGGACTTCGTCGTCCGTCAGTTCATATAGATGCCTCCTGACGTGCCTAGGCGAGGGCTCCTCTGCAAGCAGCTGTCTGTTTGGGTGGCCACTTCTGTGGCTCCCGATCAGGAACTGCTTGCAGAGCATTATGTTGTGCTCCTTAACTGGGAGCATTTGCGCCTCGCCGTGCAAGTGATGTTCAGGCGACATCAGGAGGCATCCCGTCGCTGTCCTAAGTGCCGTATTTTGTCCAGTCTGTAGCTTCGTCCACTGCGTCCTACTAGTCCCTGGCGACCACACTGGCGCTGCGTAGTTCAAAACCGGCCGGCCTATTGCCTTGTATGTTGCCAGCAACGTTTCTTTGTCTTTGCCCCAAGTACTGCCGGCTAGCGACTTGTTGCGGCTCTGTACTTTATTGACAATAGCGGTTGAGTGCGCAGAGAAGGAGAGCAGGCTGTCGAATGTTACTCCGAGTATTTTGGGGTTATTCACCGTCGGAATTGGTGTGTCATCGACGTGAATCCCCAGCGGTAGCCTGACCTCCTTCGTCCAGGTTGTGAACAGGGTCGCGGAGGATTTCGTAGGGGAGAGGGCTAGACACTTTGCAGTGAAGAAGCGAGAAAGTTCGGAGAGATAGCCGTTTACTTTCAAACACAGGTCATCAATTCCATTCCCAGTCGCCATGATCGAGCAGTCGTCGGCATAGGAGACAATCGAGACTCCCTCTGGTGGTTGAGGGAGCTTTGAAATATAAAAGTTAAACAGTAGCGGGGAAAGGACACCACCCTGAGGAACCCCCTGTTTTATTTTACGCTGCTTACTCGTTTTGTCTCTAAATGTTACCGACGAATGTCGACCACTCAGATAATTTGCCGACCACCGTTTGAGCCTCTGTGGGAGAGAGGAGGCCTCTATATCTTCTAGCAGCGTGGAATGGCAGACGGTGTCAAACGCCTTTGACAAGTCCAACGCTACTAGAATCGTTCTCTCACAGGGACGGTTGCGGTTAAGGCCACGAGTTATCTGAGTGTTTATGGCGTTAAGTGCTGTTGTTGTACTGTGCACTTTACGGAAACCATGCTGATGCTTCGCTGGGGTCAGGTGGTTTGTGAAGTACGGGAGTAGCAAGGCCTCAAGTGTCTTCGCTACCGGGGAAAGGAGTGTAATCGGTCGATACGAATCTCCTTTGTTGGCGGGTTTCCCCGGTTTGAGCAGTGGGACCACTCTCCCCACCTTCCAGATGTCTGGGATGATGAGAGTGGCCATTGACAGGTTGAGGACCTCCGTTAGGTACGCTACCCCCGCAGGACCCAAATTTTTCAGCATCAGCATGCATATTCCGTCCGGACCCATGGCTTTGGAGGCTTTCGCCTTCCCGATGGCCACCTGAACTTCACCGCAAGTGAAAGCAAGGGGGGCACAATTTGTTGGCAGTTTGTGCAGCCTTCTGGTCACTCGACGCTTGGCTTTGTCTACCGGAGGATGCAGTATGAACTGCCGGCTAAAATAGCTCGCGCATCTCTCCGGGTCCGACGAAGCATGGTCGCCGAAGGAAATTTCGACTCTGTCGTCGTGCTTCGTCGGATTAGACAATGACCTCACGGTTGACCAAAGCTTGCTCACACCAGAGGTGAAATTACAAGTCTTCAGATGCTCCTCCCACTTCTTCCGCTTATGTACGTTTACAAGTTGCCGAATCTCCGCGTTGAGATCCCTGATACGGGGATCTCCGGGATCGGCCTGACGAAGGCTATCATGCTCATCAGCTAGAACAGC